ATGTTTTGAATATATAAGGTTAAATAAAATGTATTAAAATTAATTTTACACTTTTTTTTACTTTTTAAAATATGGTCATTAGGAAATTTTAAATAACACATGGCTGACACATTTCTATTGAATAGCACCTGTATAAAGGCAGGCCTTGAACATCAACTTGAATTTAGCTATTATTCAGTAGAAAATAAAGAGCCATTGAAATCTCAAAATTTCCACATTAGTAACTATTTAATAGTAGCTTTTGGGGGGGAAGGGAAGTATTGCAACATTTGAAAATATAAAAATAAGATTGTTCTTTAAAAGTTATAGTTTCAAATTATTTCAACAAATCAGAGCAGAAATGAAATCAAAAACAAAAAAGGGTGGGGAGGCTTTCAGGCCAAAAGACTTGACTAGTTACACTGTATAATACAGAGCCTCAAGCAAGATTCTAGTTTCAAGTGTATGGCAAACTACTTAAAAACAGTCCAAAAGTTGACTGTTTTTAAGTAGTATTTATTCCTTCTTTTGACAGTCACAGGTTTCTAGACCTACACATCATCTCATTTTTCTACAAACCAGGAATATTTCTGATCGATATCAAAGAATTGCAGATAATATCAGAACATTAAATAAGTTAATAACTCTGTTTTTTGGAAAGGAGAGATTCTCAAAGACAGTCCTCTCTTGCCCTTCTTCCAACAATGTCCTAAAACAGAGAAAGAGAAATCAGAAAGATTATTTTGCTTTGCATTCTCAACTCTAGTAAATCTTATCTAGCACCACAACCAGCCTCTTGCTCCCCTAAAGTGCAGTTGGCCCTCCACATCCACAGGCTCCATCTCTGTGGATTAAACCAATTGCAAATTAGCAATATTTAGGGAAAAAAGTTAAAAGCAATAAAAAATACAAATAAAATACAGTACATTTGTTTATATAACATTTACATTGCATTAGGTACTATAAATAGAGATGATTTAAAGTCTATGGGAGGGCCAGGCCCGGTGGCTCACGTCTGTAATCCTAGCACTCTGGGAGGCCAAGGCGGGTGGATTGCTCAAGGTCAGGAGTTCGAGACCAGCCTGAGCAAGAGCGAGACCCTGTCTCTACTAAAAAAAAAAAATAGAAAGAAGTGATCTGGACAACTAAAAATATATATATAGAAAAAATTAGCCGGGCATGGTGGCACATGCCTGTAGTCCCAGCTACGCGGGAGGCTGAGGCAGGAGGATCGCTTGAGCCCAGGAGTTTGAGGTTGCTGTGAGCTAGGCTGACGCCACAGCACTCTAGCCCAGGCAACAGAGTGAGACTCTGTCTCAAAAAAAAAAAAAAGTCTATGGGAGGATATGAGCAGGTTATATGCAAATATTACACCATTGTATATAAGGGACTTGAGCATCCACAGGGGTCCTGGAATCAATCCCCCACAGATACCAAGGGATGACTTGGTCTATAATTTGGGGAATGTCATCACCATCCAACTGCCCAAATCAGAATGTGATAGTTATATTAGATTTCCACTTTAACATCACATCATTTCCTTTCTGCCTTACCCCATTCTCAACCTCCACCTAAGGGCCACACAGGTTAAGTATGGCAGAACTGGGACTGACCTAAATTTCTATCTCTATATGACTCTGGACTCTCTCTGGGTCATCTAACCCACTTTCATGGTTTTAACTCCTAAATTGTATCTCTAACTCATAGTTCTCAAAATATCTCAGAATTGTATATCCACTCACCTGCTAGAAACATCCACCTATATAAATGTTCGTAGCCATATCAAACTCAAAATATCCAAAACCCCAATTTATCATCTTTCCTATCCAATCTATTCTTTATCATCTATTCTCCAAATGTTGGGATTTTGGATTTCCCTTACCAGAATATCAGACATCAATTTCTGTCTCAATATCTAATTAATCATCAAATCTTTCCCATTTTATCTAACATTCTTCAAATCCTTTCTCTGTTCTTCATCCCAACAAATCCTCATCATCCATTTCTCACCTGAACTCCCTCTAATAGCCAACATCCAGTCATCATAATGTGACCTACAGGGACTTCCATGATGTGATCATTGCCTACCTTGTCTATATTGTCTTAAATGTAGTGATCCAGCCATAAGAAACTGCTTGTAGTTTATACATGCACTGGGTTGTTTCTCATCAATCTGCCTTTGTTCGTATGCTCTCTATACCTCTACTGCCCTCTTTCCAATTTCAGGAGCATGTGCAGGTCTTCAATGTGTACCCATGGAAGAAAAAGTAAATCTAAGTACACAGGTTCTACTGGTTTTAAAATCTAAGAATTAACAAAATGAGTCTATCCTGCTGCCCTGAGAAAGGTTCCCAGCGATAGAAAACTACCATCATTATCCATTTCTAGCCACAAAATTTCCCCAGTGGGGAAAGGGAATGAACATCCTGGACCTTCAGTTTCTTTAAACCACAACTTCTGGTTCCTAATTATTCTTAGTTCTTATGTATCTATTCTTGAGCATCTTTCCAAAAAGGGTGGCTGCCAAAATTCTGCTTGATTTAGCACCCTGTGATGATGAATCATCTGGAGGAAGTGACTTGCCAAGATAAGTCTAGGAAAAAAGGGTAAAGAAGCCCATAGGGGACCTACAATAATGTCATGTCAATAGAAGCAGAGAGTAAGAACTGCAAGGTAAATCTTGTTAAAGGAAATATTCTGGGCACATTACATATTCTGGGCACATGAACATTGTCACTTGGAAATCATAACTTGTCATTCAAACTGAATACAATATGAGGAAAAAAAAATAAAGTCCAATATAGGCTTCAATATTCACAAGATACTCAGCAACTACATACCAATGAGTATGAATATGGACTTTGTAATGACACAGGTTCCACACATAAATTTTTATGAACTCATCATAAGAACAGATGCTCCTGAGAGTTCAAGGGAAAAGAGACTTTTATCATTTTATCTATACTAATTACTTAAAAGTGTTAAACTGAATTAAAACATGGCTTAGCTGTTATCTCACTTGCCCTGATTGTCTTCTCTATACATTAAAATGCATAAGGTGCCTCTCTGTATTCCCAGAATTCCCTCTGCCTATTTTTCTCTCACTATATTTTCCACATTATCTTTTATCTGCCTGAGTTCTTCCTCCAGACTATGACCATCTTGAGGATTGGGTCATGTGTTTTTTCACCTTTGTATCCCTAACACATAACAGTGCCTGGTACTTGTTAGCAATCAATAAGTCTACCACATGACTGACTAATCTAGTCTTCTTTTCACTTGATTAAAACCAAAAAATCTAAACCAATGCTATTTAAAGTAGGCTTATGATGAAATAAAGAGTTTGAGCCAGAATGTATAAATGAAATGCTTCCTTTTTTGAGAAAGTCTTGCTATGAAAAAGTGTCTCGCTGAACTAAATAATGTTTAGTAATGCAGCTGATTTATATTCTTGCCCTACTTTGATCCAAACACTTGAAAGTTGGGTGAAGACATTTTCATAAAGAAAAGTAAAATGCTGAGTAATGGATGGTTAAAATTAACTTTAGGGTCCTCATCCATCTTTATAAACACATACATATTCAGATCAGCAAATAAATAGATTTAAAATAAAGCCACCTATTTTCATCGGTAAAAAATAAAGAAACAATGCACTTAAAAAGTTTTTAAAAGCCAAGACACATTTTTAAAAAAAACCTAATAAATTTTTAATTAGAATTTTTTCCTTTTTTTTTTTTAACAGGACAAGTAACAGATTACATCAAACTTCAGAACTTTTCAAATACCTAGTTATTATACACATTCCCATCTGTCTTGCAGGGAGGGATCTTGGTCGTCTTAACAGTTTCAGGTAAAATAAGCTGCATAATAGTATATATTACAATAATAAATGTACAATGTTTACATGAAATATGTTTTAGAAGCAAGAAAAAGATGCATATGCATCAAAAGGCGACCTTTTAATATGCCACAACTATTTTTTACATTCACTCTTGCAATAGGTTACAAGATGGGGTCACTAAGCTCAGATAAATCACTATGATGCACATAAAATACAGAAAGATTGGTTACTTTATATATTATATATATATTTATATTTTCACACATTAGCATCTGAGACATAAACTGAGAATTTTAAATTTATTCTCTTCAGATAACAAATCATTTTTTATTCTTCATAAACATGGTGCCCACAAAAGCACATAGGTAAGGCACAATAGGGCTTTCTGTTACAGAATAGTGTGCATCATGTTTACTTAACCAGAAAACGTGCATTATCTGTGCAAGTTCATGCTGCAAATCCAACACATATACAATAAAACAAAAAGGAAACTCAGCTTTAAACAAAATAAAAATTGGTACAATTCCAGCTGTTTCACATATTCATTTGGACTGACAATGATATATCAACAGGTAATTTTTAAAAAGCCAATTGCTAGATTACAAGTCAACTTTGCTCAGCAACTATTTTAATCTGAAATCATAAACAGTAATAAAGTAACTTTACTGAAACAAATTAAATACTGAGGCACAAAGCAACAGTACTTGTGCCTTTACTACATTGCAAACTTTCATGACCCAAAATTGCAAGTATAATCTGCCAAATACACATTTTGCTGCAACAATGTGCCCGGCTTTAAATCTGACATATAACAGGGGCACTAACATTTCATCAAATTATAAATAGATTGGGAAAATGACTTAATCCCAATGGAACTATGTCATAGCCCTAGTATTTATAATAAATACAGCTTTTCACAAAATATTTTTCCAATATCTGCCAATTTCTTCTTTATTGCTCACATGAATTTGAAACCATTACAACTGGTATCACAACTTTCACACAAAATCATACTCAGATGTTTTTTATATAAAACCTATAAAAGATATTTTAAACTTGTATCTAATACTTCCAGGTGTTTGGCTGTTTGATCTATGTGATAGCACAGCCATATGTATACATGTGTGAGTGTATACATATACATATATACATACACACACATACATACATATATATATACACACATTAGATAATGAATAAAATAGAAAGCTTATTTTACTGCTTTAATGCAGACATCCTCACAAAACAAGACTACTTTCACCACCACCAGCATTTATACATATATACAAAAGCCAGTTTAAGTACATGTACATCCACTGACACGTATATGTAACCACTAAACCCAAATTAATTTTCCCACATTCCAGCTGTAGCAAATGAATCTCTTACAAGCAAAAGAAACCTAAGGTTAAACTGGGAAATTAACAGTTTTACCACATTAGCGTGTAAGAACTATGCAGGTGACTGCATACAAAAATTCACAACATTAGTTCACAAGAAATTATGGAAATACAAGAAGCCTCTTCACCATGCTTTTGTGTGGTTATCCAAACACTTCTTGGTGCAAAAATACAACCACCCTATCTGAAAATGCTTAATAAAGTCAGTGTTCCTCATGCAAAACTTTAAATGCACTGGCTTAACTGAGCTCCAAAAACTGAATGAAACAATTATTCTACCTATGCAGCATTGCTGCCTCACTGCTAAATCCCTTTTGAACCTTAAGATTTCTGGAACGTTCAAACAGAGCTGTATTCATCAATAAAAATATTACATACAAAAAGCATTTAAAAAGGAAGACAAAAAGCCAAACAGGAATTTTCCTATTGTAAATAACAGTCTTAGGAGTGAAAGAAAATCTTTTCAGGAACCTCCTTGAGAATTGGCTAGGCCAGTCCGAAGACGAAGATGAGACATAGAGTTCATATGCTTATTTGATGGCTTCAAGGGAGTGTTGCAAGTAAGAGCTTGGGGAAAACGATGGTGATATCTATCTAGTCGTAAATATTTTACTGTTACCAATTTCCCTGTTAGAAGATAAAAATAATATTTTAGATCTATAAAAATGTGTTTAATATTTGCATAAAATTAACTGTGGTAAAAGACACATGAACGTAAAACACAAATAAAATCATTCAAAATTATTACTCAAAAAATGCTAAGCTAAAAATTTTTAATATAAAATCTAGTATAGTTTAGCACTAAACCATAATTATCTTTTCCAAATGTCTGTAAAATTCAAATTTCTTACCATCAAACCAAGAGCCATGCAATGCCTTAAAAGCTTTTCCAGCATATTCTGGAGACAGACATTTAACGTATACACAACCCTGTGACATTTAAAAAGAAAGAAAAGAAATATCTTAGTTTAATAGCAACAAATCCAAAACACAGAATTCAATATTAAAAGTTACTTTACCTCACGTGAATTTTTGTCTACTGCAATATGAACAATGCCATCATTATCACTGCATTTTTCTAAAATTGCCTCTTGAATTGCCAAATGCCACTGATCCCCTATTTCCCTAAAAATTAATGAAAACAAAAATCAACAACCATATTCCTTACTCGGTAATAAGTCTTCATTATCTCTTACAGTATATATATCCTACTAGAATTAGGATAGTTTAAAGACCACATATTATTAAAATTAGTGGTAAATAAACACTTGTTGACCAGTAGTATGTGGATTTAAAAAAAAAATAGCATGCAGAAGTGTCAGCCCTTCTCTCGCTTTGTAGGGAGAGTGCAGACAGCTGAGGCAATGAAGGATTAGCCCACCACAGCAGAACAAACAGGCTGAGTCATCATGATGTTTAAAATCCTATGTACTTGCAGTCACTTCTTTTTTCTTTCTAGTGTTAATAAGCACTTTAATGAGTTGTAAATTCATTAAAGTTGTAAAAGTTAAATATTATTTTCTTTACTTTTAATGATACTTTCAAATTCTTTTCTTAAAGAAAATTCTTAGTAAACATTATATTCCGAGCTTTTTTCCAAAATAATGATATAGAACAAACATTTTGTAGTTCCTTTACTATAATGACAGCTTTAAGACTTTCTGCTACAGTAATGCACAAATGTCTTACTGTGAGACATAGATGGTGGGACAGAGGTGAAAGTAGCCTCACTTTAGATTGTAAATCTTTACCTCAAGTAATAAAATACTGGACTGGCACTGATGTCCTAGTTCCTAAGGAATGAGGTAAGATTTCCAATAGAGGTATCTATCACCACACTGCTACTTGCTTCTGTCTCTGCAAAACAGAAGGGTGTGTGTAGGGGTGTGTGTGTGTGTATTGACAGTGCTCCCCAACATTTCCAATTTTGTTGTCACCTATTTGGAATCTCATATCAAGAATTTTTGAAAAAATGAGTCATTAGATGGGACTTAAGAATATTTTATATGTAATGCAATTTATACTTTCAGGATTTAAAAAAAAATATGATCTGTAACATTATTGGATAGATAAGCAGTGGCCTCTAGGAGGCTAATTCTAAAAAATTATTACAGTTTGTAATTGAAATAGTAAGGATTCTAAGATAGTAACTAACTTTTGAATGTGCTATTCTCTGGATGTATGTGTTGCTGTAATTATGTAGTCAGTTAAGTTCCTCCAATATTACATTGACTAGTAGAGATAGGACTTATAGAGAAAAAAGTGTGTACATCTTTGTAGGGGATTTTTTATAATTGGAGACTGGAAATTTTTAAAAAGCAGATATTTTTATCCATATTGCCCACCAAGGCAAAAATGTTGGCAGTTATGTATAAGATGACTTATACACTTAATAAAGGGTACTGTCTGTGATTGTGTGTCATTAATTTGCCTCAAGCATTTATCTGCTATGAGGATTCACAGTACATACGAAGATTATTTATAAAGTCTTACAAATCTTCATACGTTGGTATCTTTTGGCCAAATCTTTGCTTAGAGTTTAACAAAACAGAAGAGAAAAACATGTTTCAGTAGAGATTCAGAAGGAAAACAGATTTTCAATTACAAACACACCATTATAAGAATATCATGCATTTTGCAGCCAAATATTTCAAATAAGAATTACATGTACCCTGGTATTAATACTTACATAACTGGATCAAACATATTTCGAATCTTTAGACACGGTGTCAAACTATTTGGTGGTGAATTTCTTCTGTCTAAATGAAATGCTACAAAAAACAAATGAGCTTTATTTACTATTTGCCATTGTTTCATTTTGCAGAAAGGTATTCAGTCATTCAGTTCATTTAAAAAATATTCACTGTGTGCTGTAACTATGAGCCAGACTCCTTGTGTTAGATGTTAAGGTGAGTAAGACATATAATAGTTGCCATTACATAGATTATACAGTTTAGTGGGAGAAATAAATGATAAACAGTGCCACCCAAGAAATTACAATTATAACAAGTCCTAAGAAAGAAGAGTACAGGAAGTTGTAAAAACCTAGTCTGGTAGTATCAGATAAGACTTCCCCAAGACAGTGAAATTTATGCTGGGAACTGAAGAATAAAAATTAGCAAGGTGAAGAGAGGTGCAAAGGACATTTCCAGCAGAGATAACTTGAGGAAAGAAGGAGCTTGGTATATTCAAGTAACTAAAAGACAGCCAACGTGGCTGGAGTGGGAAGAACAGAAAGATAAACCTGGAGAGGAATATTTCAGATTATCCAGCACCAGACAGGCCACATTAAAGTTTTTGGACATTATCATAAGAGTACTAGAAAGCCACTCAAGTGTTTTAAGGAAAAGAATAATATGATGAGATCTGTCTTTTAAAACTAAAAAATGTTTAAATAGATTGTTATGTGGAGAGGCAAGTAGGTAGAAGCAAACATGAATGCAAGGAGACCAGTTAGAAGATTATTATAGTTGTCTAAGAAGGAGATTATCGTGATGTAGATAAGCTAAGCCAACAGTGCAGATGCATAGTGGATAGAATCGGGACATATTATGGAGATCTGACATGACCTATTGATAGACTGGACAAAGAGGGGGTAAGGTAGAGAGCAAGAATGACTCCTAGGTTTAAGGCGGAACCAACTGCAGAAGGGTATCATTAACCAGACTAGGAACACTAAAGATGTTAGTTTGGAAAGAGGACATATTGAGTTTGTGCACATGTTGAATTTGTGGTGCCAGTCTCCTAGTAGAGAAGACAAGTATACAGCTGGTTACAAAAATCTGAAAACAAAAACAGAAGACCTAGTTTAAGATATAAATTTGGGAGTTATCAACATATATATATGTTAAATTAAGTAACATCATGAGATCGTCTAGGCAGAGAAAGAATGAGAAAAAAGATGGCCTTCAGAGAAACTCTAACAACTAGAGGTCTGGAAAAAGAGGAAAATCTAGAAAAGAAGATTGAAAAAAAGGCCAGAGGTAGGAGAAAAACCACAAGAAAGTGGCATCCCCAAATCCAAAAGAAGAAAGTTTCAAGGAGGGCTCAATTGTCAAACACTGCTAAGAGGTTAAGTAAAATGAGTTTTTACTCAGTTTCGAGTTTCCTGGGGCCCTTCTGCATGCATCCTTTAGAGGAAATAGTTTGTTAGTATAATCTTTGGCACATCAAAGCATCAATTTTATTTTATGATTAAAGAAGCCTATTATTCAAGGTTTTTTGAAAGTGAAAATTAAGTGGAGATAAAAGGGAGTGATTGAATTTTTTAATTGTAATTCCAAAACAATTTACTCACCTTTTCCATGATAAACATGCTTTTGTAGAAAAAAGAAGTTACTATTTACAATTTTCTGATATTTTATTTTCTGCTTTCCTGTGTAGTAGGGGTTTGGGTACATAAGGCAGCCAATCTTCAAAACCCTCTACATACTTACATATACATGTTTTTCAAACTATGCAGGCATTAAGAAAAATTTGGAAAGATACCTACAAAAGTTACTTGGCAGAAAAGATATGCAGGTGAAAGGGGTCTTAGTGAGAAAGAGGAGGGGGCAAGCGAAAATTGGGAAAAAAAAGCAGTTATGATTCTATTTACATTTGTAATATATGTTATATTTATGTTGTGTATACATAACAAATTATACGTGTCTTATTTAAAGAGATTAGATAAAAAGAATGCAGCTAGGATCTATAATACTAAGTTGCCTTAAGTGAAAAAGGCAAGATCCAAGGAATGTTTATTATGGTAAAGACAAACCATTTATGTTTGCAATAGCAAAGACAAAAGTATAGAAGGCTACATGAAGAGCTAACACTGATTCCTTCCACGAATGGAACAGAAAAGGGAGCTTTGCCATCATACATCTTTGAATTGTACTGTTTCACTTGATTAAACACATATGACTTTTGTCATTTTGAAAAATTAGAAGAAAATTATTTTGTTTAAAAAATACATACCTTGACCCTGCCATACTTTAGAAGGTATGACTAATATTTTGTCACAGGACGCAGAAGGCTGGATCCACCGCCAAACAAGAAAATCTGCACCACCTATTCTTCGTGTTTCTGTGCGAACTCTAGACTCATTAGCAGCAAGGAAGTCAACAGCTCTCTCCCAGACTTTCTTCATTTTTTTCCTATCAAGTGAACAAAATGACAAATTTACTATTATCTTGGCTTATCATCTTTTTGAAATATTAATAACTGAAATAATGGTTATTGTTAACTCTAGCTGTTCTTACCACTACTCACGGAGTTTGTTCAGAAAAGATTTAGGTGCCTGTATCTGACCTCAGACTTACTGAATTTCAATCTCCCGAAGCAGAACATGAGCATCTGCACTCCCCCCAAACACCTCAAAAAAATTGTGATTGGTTTGTGATTATAATGTGGTTGCTAGCGTTAAGAATGCTGCTTTAGGACATGGCATCATCTTTTTATTTTCGAAAAGTTATTTTAAAAGCTTTATTAATAACAAAATAGTTATTTAAAAACATTAGTAATACACCACTGGCTATTGTGTTTCTTTATTAAGATGAAATTAAAGGAAATAAGATGGAGACTAACAATTAATCGAGAATGTATAGGAATGAGAATGATTTAGAAATCCAGCTATCTATTACACCACTCAAAATCAGGAGGATAACAGAAGAGAATTTAGGAAGAAAAGAGAGTGTAAAGTACAAAAAACAATCTGTACAGTAAAACAGGTCTATTTAAGAAGGGTCACAACCCTCAATATAATTTCAATACTGCAGAAGACACCTATATTCTGATTTACTTGAAGTCATAATGCTTTGAACACACCTGTCATGAGGCTGTATTAAGGAATCACGCACATGTGGAATAGGCATGTAAGGCTGTAAATCCTTATTTTCCTGGCAAGCTTCATTATGACTGCGTAAAACATCTAAAAAGAAATCAAATTAACAAATGAATCAATTACTTGACGTTGTGTTGTAGTCTATCACACAATGACTGTTTTAGAAATAGTTTAGATTTTTATAAACACCATACCTATAATCTTTACCACCATATCATACATCTGCCTTGTTTCCTCTTCTTCTTTTGTCCAGCGATATTTCATGTAGCGCAAAACGACACAAACCATGACTACACCTGCAATATTCATTACTTTGTGTTAAAAATTGCGGTCAATGACATTCAATAATATTGCAGTTCCTACAGTGATTATTTTAATTGTCATAATGAAATAATGGTATAAGCCTTCAAGACCAAGGGCTGAATTAGTTATACAATTAAAACTATATAAGAAAAATTTAATACTAAAAACATTGTCCAGAGTTTCACTTCTCTCTAGAAAAAAACACTTCTTCTATTGACAACTG